GTACGTACATGGAAATGTACTCTTAGCTGCGGCACCATATTTGGCAAGGATGGTGGAGCACAGATTCTCTGTAGAGGAGCACCTCGCTGCCTGCAGAGGGGCGCATTTCTCAAGCTGGGGTCCATAGATCCCCTCCACCCCCCTTCCGCTTCCCAGTTTCCCTCTGCAGCGGCTGGATCCCTGTGAGAAAAGGGAAAAGTGGTGTTATTTGGGAAGTCAGATCTAAGCAAAGACCAACTCTCTGCTTGCAGTCCTTAAAATAATTTTCAATGAAATAAAGCTTTCTGAGTCAGAGGATATGACTTCCTCATTTGCATGATTCAGAATGGTGGTGACGCCACAGGCAGCCATTGAGAGCAGTTCCCGAATGTGGAAACCCTGAACAATGAAACGGGTCCTGTAGTTGGCACCAAATGAATAATCTTACATAGCTGAACGCCGTTCCATTGGCCCTAGCACAGGAAGCTGGTGGCTATCAGGAATTCACAGTAGGTGACTCCTGTTACCTCCCCAGTGTTTTCCTGGAGTGGGGGCGCTGACAGCAGACAGTTTTCTGAATGGGACAGAAGTTGCTGGGCTTCTTACCTAGAGTTTACAATGTTTGGTACATACATCACTTTTTTTTAGAAAGGCTCAGAGAAAATCCATATTATATTAGAATGGGAATTTGTAGCTTGGGAGCCGTATAGAAGAGGAAAATCTTTAGGGCATCTTATGAATCCTGGAAGTTGTATGCAGAAGGTTGTTTTTGTGTCTTGGGAAAGTGGCTCACAGATGGCCATCATACTCTTAAAGGGTCTCTGGCTTCTAAAAGATTAGAACCGTGTTCCTGATACAGTTAAGAGATCACAAAGAAATTTGTATTGTGCACTCTTGTGATGCAGAATTTTAAAAGCTGGACCACTGATTATAAGTAGCAGGATCTATTACAAGCAGCATATTCCTGTCTCAATATAAAAATCTCAAACTTCTCATGTGTGGATATATATTTTTTAAAGATTTATTTATTTGCGGGGGAGAAAGAGGGAGGGAAGGACAGAAGGAGAGGGAGTCTCTGGCAGACTCCCCACTGAACACAGAGCCTGACAACCGTGGGGCTCGATCTCAAAACCCTGAGACCATGACCTGAGCCGAAATCAAGAGTCAGGCGCTTAACTGACTGAGCCACCCAGGCACCGCTCACGTGTGGATATTTTTAAAACACATGGGAATGTGGGCACGACAGTCATGCTCCACTTAATCAGCAGCAGCCCACTTAGTGGCTTTCCTGTTCTGTCTCTTCTGTTTCGTAAAAAAGCTTGCCATGATTTTGAAGAGAATTGCTTTGTGCTTCTCCAGTAACATTTTCTACCTAAGTGGGAGTTGATAGTCTCAGATGTGGATTTTCAGTAGTGAATGATGTCCTTGGAAGGTGAGGCATTGAGTGCCCTGGCTTGTGGGCTGCTGGAGAGTGTACATACCCTGGTGCCAGGAGGATTTTTGACCATCGAGGGATGGCTCTCCTGACCCTTATAGAGACCGGCCTTTCTCTCCCTACACTTGGTTTCACACTTGCTTTCTCTCAGGCTGTGTGAAACAAATGCTGCTTTGATAGCAATATCCATCACCATAATCCATCCCATACGTGAGCATATCATCCTTAGAGCTTGGTTGTGGGTGTTGGAACGATGCTGTGGACTGCCAAAGATGGCTCCAATCAAGTATCAACCACGGTAGGAGCCACAACAGTGGGAGGAAATGGGACTCTGATTAAAAATTTCTTTTGTGACCCATTGACAATTGAAATAAACCACCCATAGCAAGAGAAGACCTGTTAGAGCTGCTTCTACTTTTCTTCCTTATCCGTCTGTCAGACTCTCCTGCCGTCCTTCCTACGATGATTCACGAAGGAGATATTTACTGCCAAGAAATCACTGATTTTGGCTTTGTGTTAGCTAATGTTCACCGGCTTAACCCAAACTGTACAGCAAGGATTGGAAGAGAGAATTAGAAGAAGGCATCCTGATGAAGTTTTCTAGAACTAAAATTTCCTTCCCTGTAAGCCCAAACTTATAAGAGCAAATAGTTCAATCTTTATTTCACTGTGGGGACAGAAAAAAGGAATTGGTCATGTTGAATATCAATAGAAAATAAAAAGGCATTCTGGTCCTCACCCTAAAACTTCTTTCTACAAAACAGAAACTTTAGTCCCCAGAATAGTTGGAAAAAATCAAAAGACATTACACTGTGATTGAGAATGATGGGTTAATAAACTCTTCTGTTTAAGAGAAGTTATTTGATATTTTTAATAAGCTTTATAAAATTAGAATGTTAAGAATATCCACTTTCAACTACAATTTTGCTGCAACACTGAAGCTCTAGTTTTTCTGTTCATCAAGAACTTCATGTGACATAATAAAGCTCTCATTTAGAGCTTCCAAATAGGTGGCTAACAAGCTAGCAGTTTGTTAGAAATTCAGAGTCTTGGGCTCTCCTCCAGATAAACTGAACCAGAATCTGCATTTTAACAAGACTCTCAGGGGATTTGTATGCACATTCAGGTCTGAAAAGCCCCGGGTTAGGGTAATCACCCATGTGTGGAAATCTTAAGAAATATTGTAGAGATTCTGCTAATGAGTCTTCATTCAGTGCATTCCCTGGTTTACCAAACTCTATCCTTGCTCCAGAAAGGCATACTGATCAGTGCCCACAGCTGCTCTTGGCTTGTGGCCCATTCTCTTGTATTGAACAGCACTTCTGCGCAATCTGCTTGTTGTATATGCTGTGTTTGTTCCTAAACCTGCTAATGATCCTGTGTAAATAATGCAAACTGATAAAATGAGTGCAAAGAAAGTAATACTGTTTGTTTTTGTATGTAGACAAGGAAACTGTGATGGGAAAAATTATAAAAATCTAAGAGCTTATGTTCAGATTTCCTTAAAATGCCTTCAAGTCCTTGCTCTATTTCAAAGAAACTAAAGCTGAAAATTGTATACCTGTACTGTGGGTCTGAAAAATGCAAGAAAGATGGCTTTATGGTTCAATCAGTAGACCTATATGAAGAAAAGAAGTCTTTACATCAAAAGTGTATCAAATGGGTATATTCATATATTTTAGTTTCACATAAACTGTTGTGCCTTAGAAATGTGCATATACCGTATATTTTTTTCCTGATTCTTTGCTTTCTGTAACTTTTGTGTTGGACAAATCAAATATCAGTTGTAATTTTGTCAGGTAAGAGGGTTTTTACTCCACATATTTCTGTATCTCATCCCAGGCCACTGAATTAGGGCGAGGCTTGGAATATGTATTTTTTTTTAAAGATTTTTTTTTTTAACTTATTTGAGAGAGAGAGAGAGGGAGAGAGAGAGAGAGAGACAGCGAGAGAAGGAACACAAGCAGGGGGAGTGGGAGAGGGAGAAGCAGGCTTCCTGTGGAGCAGGGAGCCTGATGCGGGGCTTGATCCCAGGATGCTGGGATCATGACCCTAGCCAAAGGCAGACACTTAACGACTGAGCCACCCAGGCGCCCCTGGAATATGTATTTTTAAAAAGATCTGGCAATTAGCTATGTTTGGAAATTACTGAGTTAGAGAATTCTAGCTGATCACCCAACAGTTACAGGAGGAGGAAGAATTCAACAGGTTCAGATACTTAAAAAATGTTACTAACATTTATTTACTGAAGAATTTCTAGGACTTTTATAATGAAAAAGCTTCAGCCAACTCCACAGATAGTATTTTGGATATTGTCTACATTTCCTAGTATGATGTTTTTGAAGTTTTCCTGGGATTTGACCAGCTGGCCCCTCTGAAACAATCCATCTGTAAACCAGGAAGAGGGGGAGTTTGGACTGATGTCAATTTCAGAATATTTAAGTCTCCTTCTGCACTCTGACCCCACTGACGTTGGTCAGAGTGGCACACATATTTTCTTTGGAGAGAATGATCACTTTCTAGTGACTTCCTGTTTCCTAAATCACTGGTAAATTGACATAGGAAACTGAGAACAGGGGATTTTGAGGAGACGAGGCTGTATTGATTCTCACTGGGCTAGTGGACTAAGTTTGTCCTTTGACCCCTGATCTGGTTTATCTGCTCACTATATGCCTTCTAGACTCCTGAGGAAATCTGAATGCTGGTAGGTCATTGATTTATGGAAAGATAAACAGCCTTCAAATGACAGGAGGACTGGAAAATGAGATGATCACCTGCCCCTTAAATTAGAGATAACGGCTCTGGTTATTCCTGGATCAGATGTGAGCCTTGTCTTTAAGGCTTCAAGAATGTAGGTTTAAAAAATGATGTTTTAAATGAGCCGTCTCTTCTGGACCTGTCACCTAGCCTGCAGCAGACTCTCATGGCTGAGCTGCATAGCTCAAATATTTGGCTATCAGATACATACCCAAAGTCCACCAGCACATTTGCTTCCATTGAGACCCTTGCTTTGGAAATTCACATTCTGGGTATTTTGGATGAGAAATGCCAGGATTTATTTTGATTTTCAGGACCCAGGTTGAAATATCTGCCTGACAAAGAGGTGATTACTTGACAGTAATGGACACCACCACAGTGACTTCACCCTTGGCCCCAGAATCTGGCTGTCTGGTTATAATTTACCACCTACCTTCTCCCCTCTAATTACTAGTGAGACTTTAGCGAAAGAGACAATCCAAATCCAAATCCAAATTAAAATGTGTCAAATCTCTCTGAAAAGTGATCTGCTGAGACTTTGAGGTAAATTCTATGGTTTCTCACGTCAGGCCAGGGTTCCCCAGACTGGCCTCATCTTGAAAGTCATTGTGTGTGGCATGGGCTGAGGGAGGGCTGTACTTGAAGTATATAGACCCCAGGCCTTCTTTCCAGTGATTTCCACTCACTAGGTCTCTTGGGGTGGGGACAAGAGATGCTTATGGACAGGCAAGTTCAAGAATTGCTGCTTTAATGTCGTATGATTTATTTCATTCTGCTGTCTCGTGGATAATGCATGTTCAGTGAATGATGGCTAAGTGTTGGTGGTGAGCACACTTGACACTGAAGGACAAGGGTGAAGTGTGCTCAGTGTTTCTTGTGATCCTGAAAAGGTCAATATGATATAAGATAGATGATGCTCACTCACACTGAGCAGCAGGGCTGTTCAAGAAGACTGTTTTGCAGAAACTGTGATCTCATCTGGGCTCGTAAGAATACCAAAGAAACCAAAACTCATCTTATTTATAATAACCCGGTAACAAGAAACAATTCTTAACTCACAGGGATTGCAAAGACTAACTAATATATCAGCCTTGCAACCATGAAATAAAAAAGACTATATTCTGGGTATTTTTAAGTATAAATACCATTAAGTTAGCATGTGAAGTTAGCATCACAGAAAAAGGCAGTTAGCTTTTTGTATTGTGTTTACAGGTATGCATGTATGTATATGTACACGTATATGCAGATGTGTTTTTTATACAAGCTGTATATGCACACGTGTACATATATGTCTATATATGTATCGGTACTGAGATAACACCAAGTCCAGGAAGTTTTTAATTGTATTTGACTTAAGTTAACTTTAGCATTTGAAACTGTTCAAAAACTGTTTTAGATGGAAGGGAGCTTACAAATCATTGATCGCAAGTGCTTTGTTTTACCCATCAGGACATGGACACTCGGGAAGGCTAAAATGGTAGTTATTGTAGGAGTGTGAATAAGGGCGTCTGGGTGGCTCAGTTGGTTGGGCAACTGCCTTTGGCTCGGGTCATGATCCCGGAGTCCTGGGATTGAGTCCCGTGTTGGGCTCCCGGCTCAGCGGGGACCCTGCTTCTCCCTCTGACCCTCTGCCCTCTCATGCTGTTTCTCTCTCTCTCTCTCTCAAATAAATAAATCAATAAAATCTTTAAAAAAAAAAGAACCATTACTAAAAAAGCTTTATTCAGAGCATATTTTAATTTTCTTTAAAATCAACCAACTTTTTCAAAGTATAATTTACACATCATAAAATGCATACATTTAAGTGTACGGTTCAGTGAGTTTTGACAAATGTATGCACTTGTGTAACCACCATCCTAATCAAAATACATAACATTCCCAGTACCCTGGAAATTTCTCTCCTGTCTCTTTGTAGTCAATCACCTGTATCCCCAGCCCCAAGCAACCGCTGCTTAGAATTCTGTCATTATAGATAAATTTTACCTATTTTAGAATCTCATATAAATGGAGTCATACAATATGTGTTCTTTGTGCTTGGCTTCTTTTGTTCATCATAATGTTACTGAGATTGATTTGTGTGGCTGCACATTTTGGGAGCTGGCTTCTTTTCATCGTTGAGCAGTAGTTTATTAAATGAATATACCACAATTGGCTTATCCATTCACCTGTTAATGTATGTTTGGATTATTTGTAGTTTCTAGTTATTATGAATAAAGCTGCTAGTGACATTCATATACAAGTGTTTCTGTGAATTTATATATTTTCATTGATTAAGTGCCCCGCAGCAGAATTGTTGGGTCACATATTAAGTATATGAGTGGGTTGGGTTTGAAGTGGTATGCTTTTTTAAAAAATTGAGATATATCTGACAATTAAGAACTGTTTATAATTAAAGTGTACAATTTGATGTATGTATATATTGTGAAGTAATCATCACGCTCAAGCTAGTTCACATATCCATCACCTCAATTACCACTGCCTTTTTTCCCTAATAACTAGTGATCTTGAGCATCTTTCACGTGCTTCTTGGCCATTCGTATTTCTTCCTTTGTTCAAATCTTTTGCCCATTTCTTTATTGAATTGTTTATTATTATTAAGTTGCAAGAGTCCTTTTATTATGATATAACCCTTTTTTTGAATATGAGTATTACAAATATTTGCTTTCAGTCTGTGGCTTCCTTACCATGCTCTTAACAGTGAATTATCAAATATTTTTTTAGTATCTATTTTATTTGTTCTGTTGGCTCCTTAACTGTATTTCTTTTTATTAAATTTTAGTTTTTGCTCTAGGCCTAAAACTTAACAAAGTTTACTTAGAATCAATGTGAGGCTACTTCACACTTCATGGATCCTAGTTAACAGTTACCATTTCTCAATGCAATAAACTTACAATAGAATAATTCTATTCCCACCATCCTTTGTACCATTTTGTGGTAAAATCTCCACCTTTAAATGCTATTATTTTTGTTTTAAATGAGCAGTTGTCTTTTTAAGGAAATTGTGAGAACAAAAATGTTTTTGTATTTACACACTTATTTACAATTTCTAGTGGTTTTCAATTCTTATAGAGTTGAGTGTCTGTCTGATGGCACTTTTTTCCCCTGCAGCTTGAAGAATATCCTTTAAAATTTCTCTTAATGCAGATTTGAAACTGACAAATTCTTTCAGCTTTTATCTTAAAATGCTGTTTTGGACCGTTGCTTTTAAAATATATGTGCAATGGATATATTTACCCTTGTAATTACACTTCTGGTTTTCATTTCTCTGTGTAAATCCGTATGTCTGTCTGATACAATTTTCTATATACCTGAAGAATTCCCCCGAACATTTCTTTTAGTGTGGGTCTGCTGGTGAGGAATTACTTAAACTTTTGTATGTCAGAATAACTCTTCTTTTAGCCATCATTTTTGAAAGATATTTTTGCTAGGTATAGAATTGTAAGTTGACATTTTTTTCTTTCAGTACTATGAAGGTGATTCGTTTCACTCTTTTTACTTCAGAAGAGAAATCTGCCATCATTCTTATTCTGGTTCTTCTGCATGTAATATTTATTTTTCTTGGTTGCTCGTCAAATTTTTTTTTTTGTGTGTGTGTGTGTGTGTATCTCTGGTTTTGAGTAATATGATTATGATATGCCTTGGTGCAGTTTTCTTTATATTTCTTGCAGTTGAGGTTTGTTAAGCATCTGTCAGCTTATAGATTTTTTGAATTTGGAAAAAAATTGGCCATTCATTCTTTTTTTAAAATTTTTAAAGATTTTATTTATTTATTCATGAGAAACAGAGAGAGAGAGAGAGAGAGAGGCAGAGACAGAGGGAGAAGCAAGGGAGCAGGGAGGCCAATGCGGGACTCAATCCCAGGACTCTGGGGCCATGACCTGAGCTGAAGGCAGACACTCAACCATTTGAGCCAGCCAGGTGTCCTGGCCATTCATTCTTTAAATATTTTTTCTCTACTTTACCTTTGGTTGTCAAATTTCACATATATTAGGCTGCTTGAAGCTCACTGATGCTCATTGTTCATTTTAATTTTTTTAGGATTCCTTCTTTCTTTCTTTCTTTCTTTCTTTCTTTCTTTCTTTCTTTCTTTTATTAAAGATTTATTTATTTTAGAGAAAGAGAGCATGAGCAGGAGGGGCAGAGGGAGAGGGAGAATCTCAAGCAGACTCCGCACTGAGCACAGATCCTGATGCGTGCTCAGATCAGATTGCATGTGTGCTCACGCACCAGATGCGTGATTCAGATCATGACCTGAGCTGAAATCAAGAGTTGCATGCTCAACCGACTGTGCCACCCAGGAGCCCCACGGATTCCTTTTTCTGTGTTTCACATTAGATAGTTTCTATTGATGGCTTTAACTGTACTATTTTTTTGCATCCATAATATCTAAATGCTGTTAATTGCCTCCAGTACCTTGTCTTATGAACTAGCTGCTTTGGTCTTCCTAGACCCCTATCTGTGTCTTCAACCCAGGGAATTGCTGGTCTTTGTATATGTTCCAGCTTGCTGAGCCACGATCTAGAAAAATCTCTCAAGGCAGCAATCTGAGCAATTGTTTCTCATTTCTCATCTTCCATTGCCTGATATCAAGTTCTTAAAAACTGTTGTTTCACACATTTTTTTTCTGTTTTTGGTTGTTTCAGGTGAGAGGCTAAATTGGTTCCTATTATTCTATCTTGCCTGGAAGTGGAAATTTTTTAATTGCTTTTTCATGTTGCTCTTTCAATTTGACCATTCTCAAGCTATTTACAGGTTTATTTCTAATTATAAGCAGTTTTAATAATAATAATACTTTGTATAGCATTTTAAAATGTATGTGATATTTTCAGGGGTGCCTGGGTGGCTCAGTTGGTTAAGCCTCTAACTCTTGATTTTAGGTCAGGTCAGGATCTCAGGGTCCTGAGATCAAGCCCCACATTGGCAGTCTCTGCTTTCTGCTTCTTTCCTTCTCCCTCTCCCTCTGCCCCTCCCCCCACTCATGCTGCACTCTTTTTTTCAAATAAATAAATACATCTTTAAAAAACTAAGGTTTATGTGATATTTTTAGTTTTCTAAAAATTTAATAATTATGGTATAATTTTATTTGACAAATAAGGTCATAGAAAAAATCTTTGAACTTCAGTTTTCTCTGAAGCAAAACAAGTGAATTGGATTGGAATAACTTTAGGGTTTCTACATGTTAATAATATTTTCAAAAATTTTCCAAAAAGTCTGTTTTTATTGCTGAGCTTGTTTTAATATGAGTTCCACAAGTATCTGTTAAGAGCCACGCTATTCTGGAATTGCCAACTTTTTGAATAATTCTTTTCCTGAAATAAACCTTTTTCTTGCAACAAGATAGCTCTGCAAAAGAACTTACCTGTTTGTTTTCCAATCAAACTTCTCTTACCATTTTCAACTGATGCATAGTCAGAGCTCAGTGGTGATGTCACTCTTTTCCAGCTGATTTCAGTAAATTAAGTGAATGACTTAGCAAGTGGATTTGTAAAAAGCTAAAGGCCATTTTAATAATGAACCAAAATATGGTAAAGACAAATCTATCCACTTACTAGACAGAAATGGTTAGACCCTGCCTTTCCTCCCCAGTTAAGTTGAACTTTGGCATCTATGGGTTTATTCTGCTCAACACAGGAGAAGCCCAGACCAACCACAATGTGTGGTCTATAGCTGGCCTCTTTGGTGCTTGGTGTGGTCACACTGAATCATGGGTCAGTCTGGGTGCCCCAGGTGCAGACAGCCCATATGACACCTTGTTTTTTCAGTTGTCATATCTGACTTTCTGCCCCAGGTTCCTTGGTTAGTGTTGTTAGTCCTAACTTGGCTCTCTTCCAGATTCTAGCCCACTGAATAAGGGACTTGATAGTCTTAGCTCTTTCTGGAGTCCTTCTCTGGAGTCCATAGATCTCAAATAGTCAAACTCCTCTCCTAAACTTGTTAGGAGACTGATACCAAATATACCACTAACTTGGAATGGTAATGGCACGGGCACCAGACCCTGACTCTGTGATCACTGCCGGGAAACCAGTGCAGCCACCTTCCTCTTGTTAGATTGTTTTTCCCTTGAATGTCAGCAACAAACTCTCCCCACATCTGTTTTAGTCCCTGCTATCTTATCCTTTATTTTCGATAGGAATGGAAGAATGTGACTTCTTATGTTTTATGGAGAGAAGTGATTAATTTAGAATTGTGTCAAATAGCAAATTTTTATGCTCTCTCTAAGATGATGGGACATTTTGATGGACAGGAGGAGCTCCTTCACCATGGCATTCAAAATTCCTGTACTTTCTCCTGGATAAAGTCCTAATGTAACTTTATGTCTGTACTTTAGGTTTCACAAAGACTAAAAATAAACATTTCCTGTTTCCTTTTGGAAGAAGGATCATAAATTTTAGTTAATGCTGTTAACAAACAAATTAAAATAGTTTGCTGATATGATAATAACTTCTTCTGAGTTTCACAGACTTCTCATTTTTCCTTATTCATGAGTTTGAAACTGTTAGCATTTGCTTGGCACTGCAAGTTGGCATTAGAATTTTAAGATATTTCCTTAGATTTCCTGAGTCATGGTGTTTATCTCAGATTATGGTTTGTTGGAATCATAGTTCTTTAATGTTCTATTGATTTCGTGTTATCCTTAGTCCTTAGCAACCCAAACCAGAATTAAAACCATATTACTGTAATAGGAACATTAATTATTATTGACAATGGAAAAGAAAGGAAAGCACTGAATCAATAGTTCTATTCAGCCTTTTTGCAATGAAGATGGTCTGTCCATGCAGTGTTTTAAATGACTGCAAGAGAAGGTGTAATAAAGGAGAGCAGAGATAAAATGAATATTTTAATGGTGGCCAATGGGTAGGGAAGACTAAGAGCTTTTTTACTAGTCTATGTTAGTATTTTTGGGAGAAATACCAATGTGAGGTAAAATGAATATGTCACAAATATCTGTTACAGTGTTATGTGATTTGGTGAAAGTGAATTCAATATACAGAATTGTAGGAAATTTGCCTTAGCTTTGATTTGTTATTTCAATTTCTTTATGTCACCTTATGGTATTTACTTTATGTGCTCTTAAAGATATGTAGCCAGAAAATGACTTTCATAAGACATAAAATTATATGAGCTATAATTCTTATCTGTAACCAGTGTGTTAGTTCTCCAGGCTGCTATCATGAGGTATCACAGACTGGATGGCTTCACCAACAGAAATGTATTTTCTCACAGTACTGAAGGCTAGGAGTCTGAAATCAAGGGGTTGACGGGGTTGGTTCTTTATGAGGGCCGTTAGAGAAGCATCTGTTACAGGCTTCTCCTCCTTGGGTTGTAGATGCTCATCTTCTCCCTGTGTCTTTGTATCATCTTCCCTCTGTACATGTCTATATCCAAATTTCCTCTTGTTATGAGGACACCAGTCATAGTGGATTAGGGTTCATCTTAATGACTTTATTTTAACTTAATCACTTCTATAAAGTCAGTCTCTCTAAATACAGTCACATTCAGAGGTACTGGGGGTGAGGACTTTACATGAATTTTTTTTGGGAGACACAATTCAGTGCACAACAAACAGAGCAGATGGAATACCCCACCAAAAAGTTAGTTTATGATGACGTATAAACTTAAGGTCAGAAATTTTAAGAACTGAAGTCTAATATCACATTGTTATACTAGTTAGTGTTAAAAATGGTCACTAGTCTTGAGTGAGATGTGTGCCAATACATGATCAAAAAGTAAAAGTACTTTCTTGAGGGCAAGTGTTTTCATATAAGTGAAAGGATGAGTTATGGGACAGTGTTTATAGAATCATTGACAGATTAAAAACTAGTTTTTTCCAACAATATCAGTTTACATAATAATTTTTGGGAAAAAGGAGATCAATCCAAAATATACAGTTAAAGGAGGTTCATCTGTGATTCACCAGTTTTTAACCAGTGAACCTAGCTTTGTTGTAATAATCAGTTCAAAATAAGATTCTAAGTTGTTTTGACACAAATCTTTTATTTATAGTAGATAATTACTTAGAAGTATAAAACAAACTATGAAATTATATGTCATTAATCAAGGAATAAGTGCTCAGTAATTATAAGAAAATAGGCCAGTAAGTTCCTTTGTGAGAAGTTCAAGCAAAAAACATTTTTGTTTTTGTGACTATAGGATTGCGAGTCATGAAAAGCTGAACATTTTATTTTTAAAATGAAGTGGATGAGAGAGACTTATGAGGGACTTGAAATTCTCAAGTGACATTTCAAGCAAAACTCATTTTAACATGCTTATTGCCCCACTCATACCATAAAATTTAAATTCCTATCCTACTTTTGATACTACTTGGTTTTATTCTTTCTGTTATTCTTTTTGTATTTTAGACACTCAAGAATTCCAAATAACAGAATATTAGATATTGGTTAGGCTTTTTTACTTTGCCACTTCCAGGAACAGCCTATAATTTTAACTGAAGACGTTTAGAAATATTATTTTGTCTAGACATTGAATAAGACAATGTCATGTGGTAGACTGCTAGGTTGTTAAGAATGAACAGATTCTTTGGATCATGAAGGAATAACTTTTGCCTGCCTCCATGAGGCAATGGTCAAATGCTTTGTAGAGAAGAGAAAAATATTGTAACTAGAGATGGCATATCCTAGAACTTATATCAATGGTTGGCTGATTAGGAACCCAGCAGTAAATAGTTATGGAATGTGAATTGGAAGAAGTGAGAGATTTGGTATTATTTGACATCCTTAAGGGTCTTCATTATAAAATCAGCACAAAATTACATATTCTTATGATGTCATACAAGGTCCTTCATTGTTTGTACCTGTTTACTTTTCCAACTTTATTTTTTACTATTCTCTCTTCTTTCCTCTACTCCAGCCCCGCCCAACTTGCTTTAGTTCTTCAATACTAAAGTGTTTCCTCAGGGCCTTTGCATAAGCTGTGCCTCTGTCTGGCAGGTTCTTTTTCCCTATTTTAGCATACATCTAAACTTCCTCAGCAAGGCTATTCTGAACCAACCATTTCAAATTAGCCACTAAGTTACTGAGCTCTTTTTTTTTTATGTTATGTTAATCACCATACAGTACATCATTAGTTTTTGATGTAGTGTTCCATGATTCATTGTTTGCATATAACACCCAGTGCTCCATGCAATGCGTGCCCTCCTTAATACCCATCACCGGGCTAACCCAACTAAGCTCTTTCCTATCTCCTTGTTGTACTTCTCTGTCTGGCTCTTATGTCCATGTCACATTTCTTGTTTGTTTATTTCTTTATTTCTTGCTAACTAATTGTGGCAATCTCTTTGGAGTCTAAGCTCTATGAGAACAGGGGTTTATCCATCTTTTTATCACTGTACCTCCAGTGTCTTGAAAAGTGCTTGGCACATAGTAGTTTTGTATTTAATATTTATGGAATATATGAGAGAGAAAGAAAATTATTTTACTCCTTGCTACACTGGTTAGATATCATCCAAGGATACTGTGAGTTCTTAGAGTGAGAGAGGTGCAAAGTGAAATCCATCCAGAGGTGAAAAGCAAAGAGCAAAGTGTGTAAAAAAGAAACCAACAAACCCAAAACAAGAAACCAAGTTATAGGCAGAACTGGTAAAAGTCAACCTGGGAAATATTTGAATGACTGGGAAATAAAGAAGTTGTAAGGACACAACAATCAACTTGTTAAAAGAATTTTCTGATAATTTTGAGCTCTCCCACAAAGGGGATGCCCAATATAGCAAATTTTCATATAAAAAATGCATTGCAGGGCACCTGGGTGGCTCAGTCAGTTAAGTGTATCATGGAAGTTTTAGAGAGAATTTAGTAGGTGATAGAATTCAAAAACCTTTACAGTTTATTACAAATCTATTATTATTATAAGATAACTTTTCACACAAAAACCCCAATTTCTTCTCAAATCTAAAAGGTGAAGTGAGAGCTTTATTTTATATAAAACAACACAAAATAGATACTCAACTGGATGAGATGAGGTCAAGAATATTTTTTAAAGTCTTGCTAATTGTGATGGTGCCCTTCTTATTTTCTTTAGTGAATACATTTGAGGCAAGTTTCATCCCAGATACTGGTGAATATATATCCTTATTTCAAACGACTTCTAAAAATAGTTACAAGGTTTGGAGATCAAAGATGGTGGTGGAGTAAGAGGACCCTAGGCTTGTCTCATCCCATGAACACAACTAGATTACTTATCAAGTCATTCTAAATACCCCAGAAATTGGCCTGAAGACCGACAGAACAAACTCCACACTAAAGGGAGAGAAGAGGCCACACTGAAGAAGGCAGGAAGTGCAGAGATGTTGTTTAGGGGAGGAATGGATCTGGGTGCTGTGGAGGGGAGGGAGCCAAGGTCATGAGGAAGTTGTGTGTGTGTGTGTGTGTGTGTGTGTGTGTGAGAGAGAGAGAGAGAGAGAGAGAGAGGAGCATAGGGGAACACATAAGGAGAACGTTTCCTCAAAGCCACTGGCTTGGAAAACAAGAGGGGCTGAATTTTGTGTGTCCTTGCAACCTAGGGGGCTTTAAAGCCTGGAGTTTTAAAGGTCAGCGGGCTTGGCTAAGATAGAGCCTTGAGGGTACTGCCCTGCTCCAGGAGAAAAGGCAGGCAAACAATCCAGGGGCAGACAGCATGGAGAAGGCAATTTGAAGAACACCTGGGGTACACAAGGGGGAGATTATTCTCTCTTTTGGGAGAGCACCCCTGGGAGGTAGCATTCATAGAGAAGCCTCCCTGGGAACAGGGGAACTGGCATGCACCATTTCCCTCCCCTGCCCCTCAGGCACGGAGCCCCTGGCAGGAGGCAGCACAGTGCCAACACTGTGTGCCTAACTTGCTTAGACAAAGCACCACCACCTTCTGCTCTGGCAGGACTGCCTTTCTCAGTCAAGCTTGCCTCAGTCCCAGTATGCAGATCCCTCTCCCAGAAGACCAGCACCTGCTCCTGCCCACACCATGTCTCTTGACCAGAAAGTTCTATAGGGCCTCAGTTTTGGTGGATTTGGTGTCAAGTCTCATTTCACAAGTAGACTCAAGCACACCTAGTAAAAACAGGCCACATTTAGGCCAGGAACCAAACACTGTCTGTAGCAGGCAAGGAGAGCCCCTGTAGATAACTGGCCTAAAGAATAGAGCAGCCAAAACACAACAGTATAATGCATACAGCACACAAAACTCTCCCTGAAGTGACAGGCCCTGGACAGTATATGACCTCTTCTTCATGAGCAGGAGACCTAACTGGCTTTTCTAATACCAGAAGAAGACAGAGACTTAGACAAAATGCTAAGATGGAGGAATTTATCCCAAATGAAAGAATAAGATAAAGCCACAGCCAGAGATCTAAGCAAAACAGATATGAGTAACATGCCTGATGGAGAATTTAAAGCAACAATCATAAGGATACTCACTGGGCTTGAGAAAAGAATAGAAGATATCAGTGACATCCTTACAACAGAGATAAAGGAGTTAAGAAAGAATCAATATTAGAGATGAAGAATGCAATAAAGAAGATTGGAAACAGGCTTCATGCAATAAACAGCAGGCTGGAAGAAGCAGAAGAATTAATTAGTGACCTAGAAGACAAAATAATGGAAAATAATGAAGTGGAACAAAAGAGAGAAAGAAGAGTTATGTAACAGGAGAATAGGGAACTTAGGGAACCCAGTGATTCCATCAAACATACTAACTTTCTCATATTATAGGAGTCCCAGAAGAGGAAGAAAGAGGAAAGGGGGCAGGAAATTAATTTCAAGAAATAATAGCAGAAAACTTCCCCTTCCCTAATCCAGGGAAGGAAACAGACCTCCAGATCCAGGAGGCACAGAGAACAAAAGCAGGTCAACAGCAAGACATACTGTAATTAAATTTGCAAAATATAGTTATAAAGGAAAAATCTTAAAAGCAGCAAAAAGTTCTTAGCTTACAAGGGAAAACCCATAAGGCTAGCCAGAGATTTCTCAATAGAAACTTGACAAGCCAGAAAGAAGTGGCATGGTATATTCAAAGTGCTGAATGGGAAAAATCTGCAGCCAAGAATATTCTATCCAGCAAGGCTATCATTCAGAATAGAGAGATAAAGAGTTTCCCAGACAAACAAAAACTAAAGGAGTTTGTGACCACTAAACCAGCTCTGCAAGAAATATTAAAGGGAACTCTTTGAGTGCAAAGGAGAGACCAAAAACAACAAAGACAAGAAAGGATCAGAGCAACTCTCCAGAAACAATGACAAAACAAGTAATAAAATGGCAATAAATACATACATACATATCTATCAATAATTACTTTAAATGTAAGCGGACTAAACACTCCAATCAAAAGACATAGGGCATCAGAGTGGATTAAAAAAACCAAGACTCATCTATATGCTGCCTACAAGAGATTCATTTTAGACTTAAAGACACCTGCAGATTGAACATGAGGGGGCAGAGAAACAAACGGATGTCAAAAGAAAGTCGGAGTAGGAATACTTAAGTTGGACAAACTAGACTTTTGTTTTTGTGTTTTTTATCCTGCTTTGGTATCAGGGTGGTACTGGCTTCATGGAATGATTTTGAATGATTTCTCTCTATTCCATTATTTGTAAGATTTTGATAAAGACTGTCGTTTTTTTTTTTTTTTTTTTAATATTTGGTAGAATTCACCAGTGAAATCAGGTGGTCTTGGGCTTTTCTGTGCTGGGAGATTTTTGATTCCGAATTCAACTTTCATTCTTGTTATTGGTTAAGAAGATTTCCTATTTCTTGGATTCAGGATTCAGGATTCAATCATGGTAACTTGTGTATTATTAGGAATTATCTGTGTTTTTCCTCCACCTAAGTTATCTGATTTCTTAGTGTGTAATTGTTTATACGTAATCTGTTATCACATTATGTATTTTTGTGGTGATCTGTTGTATTGTTTTCTCTTCCATTTCTCATTTTGGTTTTTAAGTCCTCTCTTTTTTCCCCCTTAGTTAATGTAGTTAAAGCATTGCCATTGCCACTTTTGTTTGTTTATTTATTTATTTATTTTTGGAAAAATTGCTCATTACCTTCAATGTTATTTATTCTGCTTTCTATTTTATTTCTGATTTTTCTTTGTTATTTCCTTCTTCCAGTAAATTTCAGCTAAATTTCTTCTTTTTCTAGTTCCTTGTGGTGTTTATTAAATTGTTTATTTGAAACTTTTTTGTAGTACAAGCACTTATAGCATAAATTTCACTCTAACATCTACTTTTGCTGTGTCCCATAGGTTTTGGAATGTTGTGTTTTCTTTTTCTTTTGTTCTGAGACATATTTTGATTTCATATTTGGCCCATTGTTTGTGCAGTAGTGTGTTGTTTAATATTTACATATTAAATATTTGATATTTACAGTGTAGATTTTCCTGCTTTTATTGTTGATCTCTAGTTTTGTACCATTGTGGTTGGAATATATACTTGGTATGATTTCAGTCTTTTTAAATTTGTAATATTTATTATGTCTCTTTTTATGTGATTTAACCAGGGGATTCTTCTGTGTGTACTTGAGGAAAATGTGTATTCTATTTTTTCTTGGATGGAATGTTTTATATATATCTTTTAGAACCATGTATTCTAAAATGTGCTTCAAGTTAAAAATGTTCTTGTTAAAAAAACAACTTTAATGGAGGCTACTCATTTAAATAAAAGCATATCAGAGGGGAGGTTGGTGGGGGGATGGGTAAATAGGTGAAGGGGATAAAGAGCACACTTATCATGATGGGCACTGAGTAATGATGTATAGAATTGTTAAATCACTATATTGTACACCCAAAACTAATATAACACTGTATTTGAACTATACTGGAATTAAAACAAAAAACTTAATAAAAAAATTAAAAGAGTTTCAGTTGCAGGGCTTTTTTTTTTTTTTTTTTTTTAGAGCAACAGTATTTTTATTTGTAAATCATGCAAAGGCCTATGAAATAGGTTTTCTTAGAACAGACCCATCTTGGGTAACTCAGTGGCACAATTCAAAAGTGAAAAATTAAGATATATTCTTTGTACAGAAGAGTCTTTAATAAACCCAAGGAATGTTTTCCACCAAGATACAAACTAGACCCTAGTTTTGCACGCAAAGGCTGATGACTTTTATCACACACCAAGATTTGCTTTAATAGTTAAGGGACAGCAGTCAGGCTAGCAAAAAGTCACCAAGACAACAGAACATTTCCATGAGAGTAGTCATTTATTAACTGGCCAGATTACAAAAATAATCATGGCAGATACGTTAGTTCATCCTTCTAATAAGCCTATTGATCTGGTCTTCCCTGTTACCAGCATCTCCACCTTCTACAAAATGGGTGGTCTTTCTCTTCATTCCCCCTCGTGGAGAAGATATTTGAAGGGCCATAAAAAGTTGTTTGCTTCTTTGAAACGTTTTCCAACAGTATAGATCTCGTGAATCAGATCCTCCATGCAGATGATGCCATATTTACCAAGAGATCGGGCAATCAATGTGTTATCTGTCAGGGCAATTCGCTTCTTGTTGATTTTGCCATAACCACGCTTGTAGCTCAATTCATTCACCGACTTCAGATTTGGGTACCCCCATGCTATATAAGGTTCCACAATCCTTAGCATGTTAACTGAAGCCTTGTTGAGCTTAACAAAGGTGCCATTGAAGATCTGGCGAAGGCGAAGAAGCTGCAACACCTTTCGAACCTTTGGGCTCACACCATTGATACCTCTGATCCTGATGACAAATGCCAATTTGGGTTCCGCAGGTACGTAGAAGTTGCCAGCTTTTCTTGCCATCCTTGCCATTCGAATCTCAGTTCTGTACATCTGCCTATATTCCTTGTGGTAATGCTTAGCTTTTTCATAGATGAGCTTCCTTCTTGCCTTTCGAAGCATCTTCTGAGCAAACTTCTTCCTCAGATGCTTGATCTTCAACTCTGCGAAATTCCTTCACTTCTTCTTAAGGGTTTCTGGCACAGCAGGAACCTTCTTTTTCTTCTCTTCTGCACCCTCCATGGTTCCAGCCGGAAAAGAGCTCAGTTGCAGGGCTTTTTGTCATAGCTGATGAAAATTGCCATTGTTTTTTTCATCTCACGATGTGATTGAGAAACAGCTTGCCCCCAAAGTAGAAGAGGAGTTAGCTCTGCCATTTCCTTGTTACTCATATTATTAGTACTGTCTTCAATCCCCAAAAATCTTTTAAAGCTATGTTCCCACTTTGTGAGGCTTAGAACATTTGTGCCCCAATTGATCCATTGGATCATAAGTTGAAAGTGATCATGAGTGAAGGTTTCACTGCCATCTCCTGTTTGCTTGTTAAGATGAAATGCCCTTCTGGAGATTTCATATATTTAACATGATGAGTGGCACCTGATATATGGGCCTAGTGAAGATGTCATTATTTGTATTTTAAATATTAGTTGGAATTAATTTTTCCTATTTATTTATTTATTTACTTATTTATTTTTTAAAGATTTTATTTATTTGACAGATGGAGACACAGCAAGAGAGGGAACACAAGCAGGGGGAGTGGGAGAGGGAGAAGCAGGTTTCCTGCCTAGCAGGGAGCCCGATGCGGGGCTTGATCCAAGGACCCTGGGACCATGACCCGAGCCAAAGGCAGATGCCTAACAACTGAGCCACTCAGGTGCCCCTAATTTTTCCTTTTTAATATAAAAATCAACATAACTTCTTACATGTCCTCATATCTCAATATCTCATACTTTGTACCTCCTGTTATTTATGTGCTCTGCTTTGGAGATCATTGTTCCAGCTCCTAGAAAACATATACTATTAAAAATATAAGAACAATTGATAGACCCTTCCATTTAAACCTAATTATAATGTGTTAATGAAATAAGATCCCAGCTTTATAGAAGGCAGATAAACATGAGATCCCATATTAGATGAGTTATAATTCTAGTGACTTCACTCTGTGTCTTCCAGTACCAAGCTCAAACAAGGGAGAAATTAAAAATGCTCCTGCTCCTGGTTTTGAAATAATCACAAGGCAAATAAAATCTCCTGCACTTTTTTTTTTGGCAAACATTTATTGAAATGAGCAGAGTTTTAGAGCTCAGTCTGCTCCCCTTCTGCTGACTCTTTGGTACTGATGCTGGAGTGCTCATGGTCCCTAGAGCTCAACATTGCCCTTCACTGGTCCTGCATTCTACTCTCATTGTTTGAGGGCGAGAGAGAGAAAGAGAAGAGAGTGACAGGGAGAAGGAGAAGAGGAAGAGGGAAAGGAAAGAGAGTGGAGTAGGGGAAGAAAGAAAAGGAGGAGGAGGTGAAGAGAGGGGAGGAGGGAGGAGAGGAAGACAACTCTAGTAAAATCCTGAAGAATGTGTTTTTCATCCCTTTCTCCCTCCCAGCAGTTTTCTGCTCCATTCTGGTCATGAGCTACAGATTCTTCTAAGAATCACCTAAATGTAATCTCTCTATGCAGGAATTTAAGCAGGCAAATAGGACCGTTTTGAAGGAAGATGCAGGAGCTTTTTTAGCACTCTTGAATCTTCATCCTGTTAGGGCATGCCAACTCCACATTTAAGAAGGTCTCTCCCTGTAGACAAGAAGAGGCTTTTTGAGCTGAGTATTCCTGAGAAACATTGAAGGTTAGGAAAGAGTTAGGAAAGGCTGCTAACCTTGAGCTCCAAAATGGAATTCCATATAGGACGGGAAAGACCTCACTGAGAAAGCAACGGTTACCAGATTGAAATGTGTCACTGTCCAAAATTGTTTTCAAAACTCAAAAAGAGCCATGTTTGATGGATGTTGACAACTAGATTTATAAGAATGAGCATTTCACAAAATATACAAATATCAAATCATTATGTTGTTCACCTGAAACTCATGAATATTATGTGTCAATTATATTTTAATTAAAAAAAAAAGAGAAAAATGAAAGAGAGAGAGGGAACCACTTTTGTGTTGTCCTCAGAGCCTGCTGTATTAGCTAATTCTCTAGGTGAGGCTGCACCATGCACCATGTGGAGGCACTTGAGCTACTTCCGATAACAAATTTCTTGGATGAGATTGAAGTCAGATGTCATCCATTAAATTCCATATTCTAGTGGTTCATGTTTCAGTGAAATGTCACTGTAATCTAATTTATCTAAGGACATTTTCTTCCAAAAAATATGTCATTTAGTTTTACAAATTGCCTATCATGTTTTTCTTAATAGCCTCAGAACCCAAGAAAATGGTGAAGTCTCAAGTTGAAATCTTGGCTTTGGCTTAAGCTATTTGATCATATTTTTTCACTGAAAACTTCTGGAAAACTTTTCATTTTAAGGTTTTGCTAAATTGCAAAATGTTTGATGGGCAAGTTTCAGTATGTTTTTTTCTGTGTGCAAAAACCAGAAAAGTGAATTATAAGCAACAATTCTAACAAAAATGTACTCCTTCACCAAAAGTTGAAAAAAAAAAGTACTGATAGAAATTTTAAAAAGTCAGATTGTAAGAATATGAATATAGTTTAAAGATTATTTATTTATTTATTTGACAGAGGGAGACACAGTGAGAGAGGGAACACAAGCAGGGGAGTGGGAGAGGGAGAAGCAGGCTTCCTGCCAAGCAGGGAGCCCGATGAGGGGCTCCAACCCAGGACC